TGAGTGCAGCACTTTCACAGCATCATCTTTTAGGATTTGAAATAACTCAGCTGGAATTCCATCACCTCCACTAGCTTTGTTCATAGTGATGCTTCCTAAGGCCCACTTGACTTCACACTGCAGAATATCTAGCTCTAGGTGAGTGATTAAACCATCGTGGTTATTTGGGTCATTAATATCTTTTTTGTACAGTTCTTCTGTGTATTCTTGCTACCTCTTCTTGATATCTTCTGCTTCTGTTAGGTCCCTACCATTTCTGTCCTTTATTGAGCCCATCTTTGCATGAAATGTTCCCTTGGTATCTGATTTTCTTGGAGAGATCTCTAGTCTTTCCCATTCTATTGTTTTCCTCTATTTCTTTGCAGTGATCACTGAGGAAGGCTTTTTTATCTCTCCTTGCTGTTCTTTGGAACTCTGCATTCAAATGAGTATATTTTTCCTTTGCCTTTGAGATAAGATTAGATTTGATTTGATTAACTCTTGTCTATAGTAACTGACAATAATGATGCTTACCTCTTTTTTTTTTTAAGTTTCCTCTTTTTTAAAAAAATTATTTTTGGCTGTTCAGGGTTTTCATTGTTGTGCAGGCTTTTTCTAGTTGCAGAGAGTGGGGGCTACTCTCTAGTTGAAATGGCTTCTTATTGTGGGGGCTTCTCTTTTTGCAGGAGTACCAGCTCTAGAGCATAGGCTTGATAGTTGTGCATGGGCTTAGGTTCTCCGCAGCATGTGGAATCTCACTGGATTCCCTGAGCCACCAGGGAAGCGCTCATGTTTACCTCTGAGCATGCATTATGCTGAGTGCCCTACAGACATGCTTTTATTTATTCTTCAAAGCAACTCTCTGCAGTACATACCACCTGTCACCCATAGGTGCTCAACGAATGTTATCCACTAGGATCACTAGGATCACTTTTAGTAATAAACTGATGACGTGAAAGAGAAGAGGACATCTTTGCCATGGGAATCAGTGCCTTTAATGCACAGGGCAAATCTGACCTGCTTTTGTGCAGTTGGTGCACTAAGCATGGGTTTTACATATTTAAATGGCTGAAAAAAAATTAAAATAAGAATACTGTTTCATGATAGGGACTTCCCTCGTGGTCCAGTGGTTAGGACTTTGCCTTCCGATGCACAGGGTGCAAGTTCCACCCCTGGGTAGGAGGCTAAGATCCCACCTCCCTTGTGGCCCAAAACAACATAAAACAGAAGCAATATTGTAACAAATTACAATTAAGACTTTAAAAATGTTTCCTCATCTAAAAATCTACATTGAAAGGCCACATCTTTAAAAATAAATAAATAAATGAGAACTTCCCCGGTGGCTGGTAAAAAATCCGCCTGCCAGTGCAGGAGACAGATTTGATCCCTGGTCTGGGAAGATCCCACATGTCTTGGAGCAACTAAGCCTGTGCACCCCAACTGCAGAGTCTGGGCCCTAGAGCCAGTGGTCTGCAACGAAGAGTAGCCCCCGCTCACCGCAGCTAGAGAAAAACCCCTGCAGCAGCAAAGACCCAGGACAGACAAAAATAATTGCATATGAAACAAATACATACGTGATTTTTTAAAAAGAATAATATTTCATGAGGAAATTATATGAAAGTCAAATCTCAGTGAGAAATGGCAACCCACTGCAGTATTCTTGCCTAGAGAATCCTGTGGACAGAGGAGCCTGGTGGGCTGCTGTCTATGGGACACAACTGAAGTAACTTATCATGCATGCATGCATGCGTTGGAGAAGGAAATGGCAACTCACTCCAGTATTCTTGCCTGGAGAATCCCAGGGACGGAAGAGCCTGGTGGGCTGCCGTCTATGGGGTCGCACAGAGTTGGACATGACTGAAATGACTTAGCAGCAGCAGCAGCAAGTTTCAGTGTCCATAAATAAAGTTTAATTGGAACACAGCCAGGCCCTTTGGTTTACACATTGTGTACATCTGCTTTCCTGCTGGAGCATCAGGATTGAGTACCTATGACCGAGCCAGAGCTGAAACTGTTTACCCTGTGGCCCTTTACTGGAAGGGCCTTTCCTGACCCCTGATTTAGAGCAAGACCTCCAGAGGCAGTTTTGGTGGAGAAGCTCAGTCAAGCTCAGTATAAGCCAGACTGCCCAGGGTGAGCATTAAGAAGGGGACCCATCGGCCTCCTGTTTGCGCGGGGACAAAGGGACTACTGTTCTGTTCCGGTGCCAGCATGGACGGGTGAAGGAGGGAAAAGAGGGCTGGGGTCGCGCCCTCTGTGTACAGGCTCTGATCAGGAGCTGGGACTTTGTAAAGGAGCTAAGAAATCTGGGATCTGTGAGCTGTTCATTTTTATGCTTTTTGCTGTTTGCTTTTTGTTTTGTATTTGTTTGCTTTTCCCTTTGTGCTTAGGGAAAATTCTTTTTCAACAATTCTAATCTTATCTAATCTAAGCCAAGGGAAAAAATGATTGATTCACACCTGGGCTGGGATAAAGTTCAAACTTAACTGCTCTTAAGACCAGCCCAGACGCTGGTCCCTTCTCACTTGCTCAGGCTCATCTTCTGACCTCTCCCCACACCCTGTGTTCTGTAATGCAACCTACAGCCCCTGGAAGTAAGCCTGTTCCATCTCTCTCTCTCTCTCTCTCTCTCTCTTTTTTTTTTTCTTTTTTATGTTCTGCTATTCCCTCTGCTTCTCACTCTTCCACACATTCCCTGACTGGAGAAATCCTCATCCTTTGAGACTGCTGAAATGTCACCTCCTCCAGGAAGCCTTCCTGACTCTGCCCATCCTGGAGGAGATGATAACATCCACCTTTTGGCCTCCTTTGCCTCCTATCACAGCACCTGTCACTCTGTATTGGCATTGTTCCTGAGTCTATGCCTCTTTCAAGGTTAGGAATGAGGTAATCTTTGTTTTTCACCTTGCTTCTAGCACATGGTAACCTAGACATGTAAAAGCTGAGGAGAGTCAGAGTGCTCTGAAGGGCCAGGAGGTAAGAACTTTCCAGCTTAAGAACCTGGAAATGTTAGGTCAGAAATGGGGTAGATAGGGACTTCCCTGGTGGTCCAGTGGTTAAGAATCTCTCTTGCATTGCAAGGGGTACAGGTTCAATCCCTGGTTAGGGAACTAAGATCCTACCTCCCACAGGGCAACTAAACCCGCATGCCATAACTAAGGAGTCTGTGCGCTACAATGAGAGATCTCACATGCCACAACTGAGACCCAATGAAGCCAAATAAATGAACAAACAAATATTAAAAAAAAAAATAAGACAAAGAATTGTGGCAGAAATGAAAACCAGGCAAGGAAGACCTTGGAGAGCAAAGTGCTGCCTGGTTTTTTTTGGTTGGATGTTTTTTCTTTATAAAGAATATTGAATAATTTAGTAGTAAATCACCTCAACTCTGAAAGACAAAAAAAAAACCCTTTTTGGGTTTTTTACCCAAAACACTATTCAGAGTGTTTACATCATACCTCTCTGAAGACAGAGGTTATTGTGATTCAGAAAAGACATTTCAGGAGGGGCTGAGACAAATATGGTCCAAAAACTTTGTTGAGATGAAACTAAATATAAGGGTAAAAGTTGAAACTATAAATGACTACTGTGATCCGTAGAGGAGGCCTTCAAATACAGTTATCTCACTTGAGCTTTTATCATTCTCAACTGAAACTTTCGTCTTGATACTGGAAAGGACCTTATCTAGTGTCCTCTTGGTATTTGGTATTTGTTCAAGGCAATGGTTGTATCTGGTCTTAACAGCATTGTTCCGGTCACTTTGATTCTGTGATTAGATAGTCACTGAGATCTCAAGACCTTTATTTTGCGAGCACAGTTTGTGTTTTAGACCCAGATTCATTATCATATTCCAGCCTGCTGAATTTTATCGGCCACTCCTGACTCTGTCATTTTGTGAGAATTGCCTGTGGTTTCTCTCCACCAGATTGGCAGTTTACTCTGCAGAAGAGCTGCGGATCCTATCAGCAAACTGAAAAGTTCCTCTTTTAGGTCAGTGATGAAAACTATCCCAGTACACCCTAACATTTTTTAATGTATGAAAGAGGACATTTATAAATCAGTTGCCTCAGTATAAGCCAATACTCACTTTCAGATTTCATCCTTTCCTTGATGTACCCAATTTGGGGGAAACCACTCCATTGTTTGGTATTTGTTTGGTCGCTGAATCGTGTCTGACTTTTTGCGACCCCACGGACTGCAGCTCACCAGGCTCACCTGGCCTCCACTATCCCCTGGAGTTTGCGCAACCCCGTGTCCATTGAGTCGGTGATGCCATCCAACCATCTCGTCCTCTGTCATCCTCTTCTCCTGCCTTTAACCTTTCCCAGCACGAGGGTCTTTTCCAATGAGTCAGCTCTTTGCATCAGGTGGCCATAGTATTGGAGCTTCAGCATCAGTCCTTCCAATGAACACTCAGGGTTGATTACCTTTAGGATTAACTGGTTTGATCTCTTTAGAGTCCAAGGGACTCTCAAGAGTCAACTCTAGCACCACAATTTGAAAGCATCAGTTCTTCGGCACTCAGCCTTCTTTATGGTCTAAACCCTTATGCAGCTAAACCCAACTCTCACATCCATACATGACAACTGGAAAAACCGTAGCTTTGACTATGTGGACCTTTGTTGGCAAAGTGATGTCTCTGCTTTTTAGTACACTGTCTAGGTTGTGATAGCTTTCCTTCTGAGGAGCAGTGATAACTGGTTTCTGTCATCCAGTGGGTCCTCAGAACTTCCAGTCAGTTATTTTGTGTTTTCCTAGTCTCTCTCTCACTAGGGCTTCCCAGGAGGCACTAGTGGTAAAGAACCCACCTGCCAATGCAAGAGACATAAGAGACTCCGGTTTGATCCCTGGCTTGGGAAGATTCCCTGGAGAAGGAAATGGCAACCCCTTCCAGTATTCTTGCCTGGGAAATCCCATGGACAGAGGAGCTACAGTGGGCTACAGTCCATGGGGCTGCAAAGAGTAGGACACGACTGAAGTGGCTTAGCACACACTCATAATCTCTCTCCTCCACGGTAAAGTTTCAGATGGCCTGCATTCTCCTTAAGCTTCCTCCTACCCCGCCCCCGTTCTCCTCCGTCTCAGCAAAGGATCCTGCTGGCTACTGCGTGGAGAAGATGGACGCTGTCAGACTGTCGTGCCATGGAGAAGATGGACGCTGTCAGACTGTCGTGCCATCTAGTTCCTGCTGCCACGCCAAGACGTCTGGTAAATCCCTCCCACTTCCTTCTGTCTATTTCCAGTGGAGAGATGCTCCTCCCTTGAACTGGGGACAACCTCTAAGTCTGTGCCTCGACCTGAGCTCTGGGCCTTCTCTCTCCTCCCTCCCCAGGTCTCCCCCAGCTGACTGTGCCCCTTCCTGCATCCTCCCTGTTAGCCTGTACACATCCTCCCACCTCATCCATCTGAAAGCATCTCCTTCGCCATCCTCCCCTTGGCAATTCAACGCCCCAACCTAGAATTGTTTCTGTTCTGCTTCCTCACCCCTTCAGTCTGGGTTGTACCCCCGTCCCTCCACTGATACTGTCCTCACTGAGGTCACCAGCTCCGGCCTTGTGGCTAAACCCAACATGGATGTCTAGGTCCTTGTCTGCCGTATCTCTCTAGAGCATTCAGCTTTCCAACCACATGCTTCTCTGAGAACTTCTCTTCTGCCCCATTTCCTGGGCTCCTCCTTTCCTCTCTCTTTCTCCCTGGACTCATCTTCCTGTGCTGCTGCTTCCGTGGTGGTTCTATGCTGGTCTCTCTGCTCCTATTGTCCCCTCTCTTCCCTGAATTCTTTTGGTTTACAAGCCACAGATCCCAACTCAGATTGAACTAACCAACCAACTAAAACCCTGCCATCACCAAAAAATCAAAAGGGAAATTAATTGATTCGTGTGTCCAAAACATCCAGTCATAGATCTGGAGAAGACTCTTGAGAGTCGCTTGGACAGCAAGGAGATCAAACCAGTCAATCCTAAAGGAAATCAACCCTGAATATTCACTGGAAGAACTGATGCAGAAGCTCCAATACTTCACCTGATGCAAAGAACTGACTCACTGGAAAAGCCCCTGATGCTGGGAAAGATTGAGGACAGGAGGAGAAGGGGACGACAGAGGATGAGATGGTTGGATGGCATCACTGACTTGATGGACAAGAGTGAGCAAACTCAGCGAGTTAGTGATGGACAGAGAAGCCTGGTGTGCTGCAGTTCATGGGGTCGCAGAGTCGGACACGACTGAGTGAACAACAAGGAGATCTGGGATAGCCGGTCCAGAGGCATAAAATAAGGACATCACAACAGCTTCACCGTCTCTGCCTTAGTTTCGTTTTCCTCTGTGTTGGCTCCGTCCTCAGGCAGCTTCTTTCTAAAAGACGGCATGACGCCTACCAGCAACTCCTGGCTTATATCCAATTCTCTTAGGAAACACAATGGAAAATTTTCTACCCAGGTTCTTAAGCTGGGAGTCTAGGAATCATTTCTGACTCCTGTTCCCCCACATCTTAGTCGCCAAGTCCTGTTCCACCTTCTTAATCCTCGTTGTTTAGTCACTCAGTCGTGTCTGACTCTTTGTGACCCCATGGACTGTAGCTCACCAGGCTTCTCTCTCCGTGGGATTTCCCAGGCAAGAATACTGGAGTGGGTTGCCAATTCCTTCTCCATGGGCTCTTCCCGACCCAGGAATCAAACTGGCATCTCCTGCATTGGCAGGGGGATTCTTTATCACTGAGCCCCCTGAGAAGGCCCCATCCTTGCTGCCGGTGTTCTAGTTCCGGGTATCATTTTTCATTCAGATTCCTGCTGCAGCCTCCCTGTGATTTTCTGCCTTGAGTCTTGTTGCCCTCCAGCCTGTTCTTCACATCACAGCCAGGATAATCTTTTGAAAGTGTTATGTGATGCCCAGCCACAATGGATAGGAAGCTAAAGACAAAAGTCCTTGCTATGTTCCGGAAGGCCTTGCATGAAATAGCTCCTTCCTGCTTCTCTTTGCACATTATACCTCATCCTAGGCAGTTCAGCTGCAGATGCCAGACTAGCCAACTCCCTCCCAGCTCTGCCTTTTCATACAGTGCTCCCCCCACCTTGACCATTTCCTTTCCTGAGACCGCCACCTAATGAGCCTCTTCTTATTCATGTAGACCTTGCATTTGATATAACTGTGTTGAGAAAATCCTTCCATACTGCGTTATGTACTCTTTCTGCTAGAATATCCTCTTTTTTCCAGTTTAGGAATTATCACACTTTATCCTCATTGCTTGTTAAATCATCTGTACCCCTCAGCAGACTGTAAGGTCCATGTTGTTTTGTGAAATATCCCCAGCATTGCAGAGTAGAGACTTGATAAATATTTATGAAATTGTAAAATAAAATAGGATGTGATTATACTAGGTGATTTTAGACTATACGTTGGTTTGTGAAGCTACTGGAAAGTCTAATGTCTACTGCTTTTCTTTTTTATATGCTTATTGCATGCTAATTTGCTTCAATTGTGTCTGACTCTTTGCGATGTCATAGACTATAGCCGCTAGGCTCCTCTGTCCATGGGATTTTCCAGGCAAAAATACTGGAGTGGGTTGCCATTTCCCTCTCCAGGATATGCTTATTGGTCCTCTATTAAAAACAGTAGAGTTTGGCAATTTCCTGGCTGTCCAGTGGTTAGGACTCCATGCTTCTAGGATGGAGGTGGCATGGGTTCAATTCCTGGTTGGGGAACTAAGATCTCACAATCTGCGCGATGCAGCACAAAGTTTTTTTAAAAGAAAAAATAGTAGAGCTTTAGAATTAAAGAGGATCTTAACAACCATCCTGCACTAATTCACTTCAATTGACAGATTAGGAAGCGGGAGCTCAGAGCAACCTTGTAACTTGTGCAGACCACGGAGATATTCACGGTGGCCTCACTGGACTTGAACTCAACTCCTGACTTTTAGTGCGGAGCAGCCTTCTCTTCATCATGATATTAGCACTTTTAACAGACTAGTGTAGTGCGATTTTTATATTATCGCACAGGAATCTCACCATCTATAGCCTCCTGTGTTTCCTTGTGAAGATATTCTTCGTTTGCCTGGCAGCTCAGATGTAAAGAATCTGCCTGCGGTGCAGTTTCCGTCCCTGGGTCGGGAAGATCCCCTGGAGAAGTGAAAGGCAACCCACTCCAGTATTCTTGCCTGAAGAATCCCATGGACAGAGGAGACTGGCGGGCCACAGTCCATGGGGTCACAAAGAGTCGGACACGACTGAGTGACTAACGCTTGCTGATTTTGTACATCTTGGTGGGTTCTGACACTTTATCAGGATGCAAATCTCCCTGGTCTGTAGATGCCCGAGAATCCTTTAGAGTTTGTTCTCTATGTCAGTGGTCCTCAACCCTTTTGGCATCAGGGACCAATTTTGTGGAAGAAAATTTTTCCATGGACCAGAGGCAGGGATCAGCCATCATTTCAGGATGATTCAAATGCATTACATTTATTGTGCACTTTATTTTTGTTATTATTCCATCAGCTCCAGCTCAGATCATCAGATATTTGATCCCAGAGGTTGGGGTCCCCTGCTGGACACCATTGGCCCACAGAAAACCAGAAGCTCTATGTTTGGCTCCCTTGTTCCCCCATATCTCCTGTAAGGGTGGGTACTGAGTGGCTGCCATCTGGATTTCATCTGAGGGACACTCGTGTTGTGTAAAAGAAGTAACAGACTTCTGGTTAAACTGTTTGTGAGAACCACTCTTCTGTCTGTGAGGCTTGCTGACTGATGTCCATATGAGATAGGAGCTTAAAAAAGAGAATTGCTTCCATAAAAACAAGTTGAAGTTTGGCAAAGACTGGGTAGGAGTAGCTTTCTAACAAGAATTGTAAGAACTTCCATGGCAGTCCAGTGGTTAAGATGTTGCCTTCCAATGTAGAGTGGTGCTGGTTCAGTCCTTGCTGGAGAGTTAAGACCCACATTTCCACACACCCCACAACACATAAAAAACAGAAGCAAAACTGTAACAAGTTTAATAAAAACTTCAAACATGATCCACTTCAAAAAAATCTTATAAATAAATGAAAAGAATTGTAATAGAATTGGGTATACATGAGAAGACAGATATTGGGTAAATTTTTTATTTAATAGAAAATAATTTTACATTAAAATGTTTATTTAAAAATTTGAAGATGAAAGAAACTGAAAATAGAATCTGTTGACCAAAGCATGATGAAACTTCAATTAATTGACCTATTCTCTACATAAATGTTTTCAAGTACTCTTCCAAAATAAAATGTTCAGCATGTCGTCCACAGTATGGTTCTTGCTTTAACTGATTATTTCAGTTAACCAAATTACCTACCCTTCTGTCTGTTGTAGGTGGACTTCTTATATGTGGTTATAATTTTGCTTTTGAACCAAATTTTAAGCTTCTCAAGGGCTAGGACTAGACCTACATATTTCATTTCCTGTAAATCTTAGAGCCCTAATGTATTACTCTGCATATGTCTCTGATGATGGGATTTTATTTCCCTAACCAGCTAGTCTTTCTTTAGTGGGCCAACTTGTGTTTCTCATCTGGGTTAACATTATTATTTTGTTTTCATCTTTACTCCTTCCCTCTTCCTAGTTGAAGGACTTTGTTTCTTCTGAAAAGGAGAGGGAGAAAGAGACTAAATAAGGAGAGCATCGCCTTCCTCCCCAGGGGGCTTGCCATGAATTTGCCATAGGTCTTGATACTAAAAAAGAGACTAAGAATGAAGCAAAGGACAAGTTAAAAATATATTTAAAACAGATGTTTGTGCTTAAATTAAAACATTCCAAATGCCACCCTTTGACCCAGCAAGTCTACTTCTGGAAAGCTATCCTGTGGAAGTATTTAAAGGCATGCAGAGAAGACTTAGTTCTGCCATGTTCATCTCAGCCTCGTTTACAACGGAAAAGGTTTAGGAACAACTTGAATTTCCTGCCTTCAGCTTTCAAGGACATAACCTATAAATACAGAGGAATTCCATTATTGTTAAAAAGAATGTATGTACTGACATGCTGAAGAGAGTCGCAAGGGCTTCCCTGGTGACTCAGTAAAGAATCTGCCTGCCGATGCGGGAGATGCAGGTTCAATCCCTGGTTCGGGAAGATCCCCTGGAGAAGGAAATGGCAACCCACTCCAGTATCCTTGCCTGTGTCATAGCCCATGAGGTCTCGAAGAGTTGGACATGACTTAGTAACTAAACAACAACAACAAAAAGATAGTCACAA